ATCTATTTTTAGGATGAATTTGGATTTGTCAAAAATCACTTTTTAAATCAAATTAACTAAAAATGGCAGCTTGACTAAGTCTTTTGATTAAGTCTTTTTTATTAGGAATTGGATATCTAATCCATTCTAAAACTTCATTTAATGGTTTATAATTAATAACTAGGCGAGAGACACCTCGTTCTAATTCAGCATTTTTATTAACATAAAAGGCGGGGCAAGACCAAGGTGATTTACTATGACTAATAATCTTATTTTTTAATAATTCATTAATTTCTTTTTTACACATTTCAACTAATTCATGATTCATTTGAATAGGTCTAGATTTAGTAGGAATTTGTCATTCATTAAAATTTTTAATATATGGAAGTGTAACTACATGTTTTTTGCTATGCCAAAAGATAGTGGGTAGTTGTTTCTAATTTTAATTTAAATTCTTCAATTTGAGATATAAGAATTGGGTCAGTTAATTGTTGTTCAATTCTTTTGTAATTAACTTCTTCTTTAAGAAATCTTAATGTCGAGTTAGTCTATTAATAGTTTGGGAAATAGAACAATCTTTTAATTGATGTAATTCAAGAGCTTCAGGAGGAGATAAAAATTTAAAAGTAACTGTTTGGCCAAGGGCTTGAGTAGTTATTCCTTGAGTGGAAGTAGTAAATGGATATAGCAAAAATATAAATGGTGTTCCTAGAATAACTTTATCAGTCATATTTCGGACTAAAACAAAAGATGTTTTAAAACAAACATCTTTCTAGCAAATATGAACTTGTGGTAATTTATATTTAATATGCATTTGATTACTATTAGCAGAAGTTAATTTTTCACTAGTTTTTTCATAATACTTAGTAGGAATTAATCATTCTTGAATACAATTAAGATCAGCACCAGTATCAATAAGAGCAATAACTTCTAATTCAAAATCATTAATTACTAGTTTAATTTTGGAGTACCATTTTTGAATATGTATTTTATTGAGAAGATTTAATCTTTTGTTTTCATGATCAGAGAAATGAGTGGATCGACTATCAAATAAAATATTATTAGGATTAGTATGTTCAAATTCATTATCAGATTCTTCGGGGAAATGGCATCATTAGCATGGAAATTATCTAAACTTTTATTAATTTTTAAAACAGTAATTTCATCTTCTAATAATTCATCTTTATTTTGAAAATCTTTGATTAAACGTTTGATTTGATTAATTTCTTATTGTAAATCTTGAAGAGTAATGTCTTTTGATTTATTTTTGAATCTTTCTAAAGTTTTAGATAAACTAATAATTGGTTTCTCAGGTTTCAATTTCTTATCAGTTAATAAATATTTTAATTTAGCAGTATATTTCTGTTTTAATTCTGGATCCTCTAATCGACTAATTAATTCGATAAGGGCAGTTTATTCTTGATGTTGTTTGGTAAGGACAGCGAGTTGTTTAATTGGTTTACAGCAAACATCATTACATCCTAATTTAATATTATTATCAGAATTATTACTATGTGAATGGTAATCAGAAGATGTATCCTGAGGATTACTAGAATTATTATCAGAATTACTAGTAGATTGGTTTAATTGGAAGATTTCAAATAATTGATTCTTTGATTCATCATTAATTTGGAGTTGATTAACTTTTTCTTTTAATTTTTGTTTTTCTTTACATTTATTAGAATAATGACATTTTTTTCCACAATTATAACAAGTAATATCCTTAGTGGATTTAGATTTTGGATGTAGTTTCTTATAATATGTCTTTTTGGGTTTATTATAAAATTTATCAGTTGATTTGGAAGGTGAATAATTCTTTCTATATTTAGTAAAATATTTTGAAAAAGACTTATGTTTATTGTATTTATGTTTTGTACGGCGAGAAGGTGCTACTGGAGGTAAATCATATTGTTTGCAAAAGTTACCTAATTCATATTTAGCTTTATGTTTATCTTTAGCAGCTTTTTGACTAAGTTTAAGATCAATACACATTTTTAAACCTTCTTTTTAAATAGTACTAATAAAATCACCATAAGTTAAATTATCATATTCAATAACACCTGTAGGTTGACTAAGTACATCCCTAATTTTGTGGACAAAAAGACTAGGTAATCCATTAATAAATTTTTCTTTCTAAAATGATTTAGTATAATCTTCTCTTAACATAACTTTAAAGGTAAAAATATCTTTATACCATCTAAAATCACTTAATGTAGGACAAGTAAGATTACTAAGTTGATCATGTATACGAGAATAAATATTAATAGGAGTACCTATAAAATGTCGAACTATGGTATAAATTAAGGTATTAATACCATCAGGTTTATAGTAGCCAATATTTTCATCAAATATAGGTAAATCATTTTCATCTTTTTGACTTGTATGTAAAATCGATTCTCGTTGATCTTCAGTAAGATATTTTTCCCACCAAGATTTGAGCATGCCAGTAAAACCAAAGGTGATCAATGAGACAATTTCAGGTTGAGTATAATCAGGGTAATTACCAAGATAACTATTTGCAACCATGGATAAGTGATTTAATTTTTGAAGGATTTGATCTTCACTAAGACCATCGATATTCCATTCATATAACTGTTTAGCAGATATAAAAAATTGATTACTAAGATTAGTTTCTTCATATTAGAAATCAGGTAGTGTGGGACGAGAATACCAATTTTTGGTAAGGGTGGTTGGAGTAGGTTTAGGATAATGAAGTTTATTAAGATTAGTTGATTGAAATTGTTGGGCTAAGATATTAATTTCATTATCAGTTGTATCAGTTTCTGATTGAGTAGAAATAGGAGGTTGTTGATTTAATACAGTAAGACCTTTTTCAGTAGAAGGAGAAACCTTTTCAGTAGCTAATTTAAAAAATAATTGTTCTATAACTTTAACAGTAGAATTATCTTGAGTTGCTAGACTATCTCGTTTAGACCGATTACTCGATAAATTTAATATGGGTTGGTCTAAAGTTTGTTTACTAGAAGAGGTGTGGTTAGCCGAATAATCTTTTAAGTTGGTTTCTATCTTATCTAATTGTTTATCAATAGTTTTTAGACATTGATTAGTATAATTATTTTGTTCAATAACTTTTTTGATTTCAGGGTGAGTGCTAGTTAATTTAAAAGGAGAAGCCTGAATAGTAGATCCTTGATGTTCTATGATTATGGTAGATAAGGGAGGATGACTAGAACTAACAGTAGTAGTAGGAAAAGTTTTCCATTTATGTTTTGTAATTGTTTAAACTTCTTTATAATGGTCTTCTAAATACTCAAATAAAGTAATTTCAATTTTATGTTCAATCATAAATTTGTACCATTTATGAGTAATTTTATATTGTTGATCAGAATCATATTTAAGCCTATAAGTATGATGTTTGGTTTTATTAATTTTAGATTTAAATTCAATATGTAATTTATCAAGATCAGGAGTAAAAAGTTTACTAATGGTCATTAATTGAGGATTGATTGGAGGTATAACTTCAAAATCGGTTTGGATTGGAGAATCTTGAGATTCAGTGTCATCTTCAGGTAAATGTGTGTGTGTTGAATAAACAGGTTTACTAATTTGGAAAGTGGTGGAGTTATCTACACCTTTCATTTTACTATGGAAAGTTTGACCAATATGAATTTGACTACTTTTTCGGAATAAAGGTGTATTAAATATTTCATCTTCAGTTTCAACATCAGTAGGTATGCTATGACGAGAAGATTGAGATCGATTAAAATTAATCCTAACAGATCCATCAATAAATTGTTGAATATCTTGAATATCTTGACAAGTAGATTGTCGTTGATTATGTTTGTAATTTTCATTAACTGTAATCCATTGGTCGGGAAGAGTAATATTTTTTCATTCAATAATTTGAGGAATATTTATATTAGTATCATTATTACTACTTTGGATTAGTAAGGTTTTGTCTTTAGGACTTTTGTGTAAGGCTTGAACATTCAAATTGATTTTAATACATTTGTAATGAACACGATAAATTAAAGCAATATTATAAACATTTTCTTTCATATTTGTAAATGAGCCATGTAATTGAGTAGTTAGAGTCAAAGCATCTAATATATAAGGGTCTCTAAGACTAAGAGTGAAATCAGGAAAACAATTAAAATGGACGGGTCCTTTGTGAAGACCAGTCTCCATCATACCCATTAAGCTATCATTATAATCAAGAAAACGAGCATCTCTTAAGTATAGTAAAACAGAAGTATTTTTACTTTGTTATGTTAATGGTTTGATTCCAACTTGAATTAACCCTAAATGAATAAAATTATGGCCAGTTTTCAAATGACGTTTAATAGTATTAGTATCAAATAATTGACATGTTTCTCTAGGTTTTTCTAAAACATAAACTTGTTCTAAAGTTTTAACATGAAGATTAACATTAAATGTATTTTGTATAAAAGTAGTTTTATAAATTTCTTTAATTAGTAAACGTGATATATTCCAACTTAAATCAATTTTATCATTTTGTATTTCGACATCTTCTTCATTGATTACTAAACCTTGATTAGGTATAGAAGGCAAAGTTGTTGACCTAAAACTAACCGAAGAATTATTTCTAAATAATCGACTCATTTTATCTTGAAATAGTTTACAGCTCAATACATTATCTAATTTTATCATCTTTTCACATATTATATTTTCACACATACCCAGTTCGGAGAACCCCTAAGATCTAACACTGCCTAACCAAATGACTTACCTAGGACTTGGGACGAAGGATGGGTGGCTAATAGCAAAGTAGAAAGACACGAATATAATTTAGACAGATTCAGACAAAAGACTGTAAACAATTTCAACACAAGAAAATGAGCCGACACGGAAGAAAAAAAAAAAGAAAGAAAAAAATCAAATTTTAAAAAATCAGTAAAAAAATCTTCCGTTGTCAGGCCCCTCCCAAACATTAGGTCACAATCTTATTGAGAAAATACATGACGCTAAACCAGCTAGAGAAATTTCAGAAATTTTAATAACAATTATTGACTAGAAGAGTTTCCCAGAACAGGACGTGATGAGAACGAAAACAGAGAATTCTCAGTGGAATTTTATTTACGAATGAATGAAGAATCATCAAAAAAAAGGTGCCATTTTTGTTAATTCCAATTATACAATGCAAAAGCGTTTGCCATATAAATAATATCAGAAAACACCGGCAAAACTAAACACACACTCTACAAAATAAATACTCGAAAGTTAATGATTCTCCTAAATATTTTCACTCAATTGTTTTCCTCTTTTTCTTTTAGCCTTTTTCATTTTACAGTATGGAGTAAGCACGAATAACCTCAACAATGGGTGCCCGGCACAGTGGACACTTCCCCCCTCCTCGAACCAACTCATTGGCACATTTCGAACAAGTGCACATGTGCCCACATCTGCAGAAATTTTAAAGAGAGGAACAGAGGGAGAGAAAATATATCAACATAAAACATTAAATTACAGAAGCAAAAAATTAATGGGCAAAAAATGCTAGAGTGGTGATTGGTAAAAAGTTGTTTTATTTCCTTTTCCATTTACATGGTGTGTCGTATGGTGATCATATGATACGAGCTGGTGGAATTCGAAATAAAGAGAGGACGATGTGGACAAATATGATTGGCTGAAGAATATTACCATTGGAGGTGTTTGGGCTTTACTAGTATGAGCTGGAATACTAGTTATTGTACAAGTAGAATGAAGAGAGTGTTATAGTGAAGTGTAGTAATCTTTTTAGTTTGGTTCCATCTCTGTAACAGAGCTCTGGGCCTCTGGTTTTTGTTTCAGTAAATGGCAGAATCATTCGTCTTTCAAAATCATATCACCATAGTTATACATATATCTATCCATGTATGTGCATTTAGGCACGTGTCTGTATGCATATCTGTGAGCTTGTCTACATATCAAACAAGGAATTGCACAAGGAATGAGGTGTACCTGTACAAAAGAGAATCAATGTGGCCATCACAGCAAACACAGCAAGTTCCCTTCTTAACATGACCCCATTTAGATCCATCCTCCGATGACTCGGCCGGCCCTGCAACATATTGCATTTCACAATACAATTACAAGAATAAATAAAGTGAGAAACAAAAGTGATTGCTGCTATTATATAGTTTTTGGTTAAAACCCTCTTCTTTTTTTTCTCAAAACTGAAAGCAGAATTCGTAAATCATGAAGGGCATGTGCGAATTATTCTCATTTTCAGTTCCTAAGGCTTCGTTTGGATTGCTAGGTGAAAAAAGAAAAGAAATGATGGTATTTTCTTACTATCAGATGAGTAAAAAGCAAGGTATGTGATATAAGGATATATGTGGGATTTCTTTTTCTTCCTTCATTTTTTTTTAGTGGGCAATCTTGGTATTATAAAAAATATACAACCAATCAGATTGTTTCTTCACCAAATCCTACCAATTTTGGTGGAAAATGAAACCTATAAAATAAGAGAGTTACCTTTCTCTCCATTTCTTATCCTTTCTCACTTAGCTTATAAACTAAATACAACAGAATTTTTTTCTCTTCATTTCTCACCAAATCACTTGAGACACAAATGGACTATAAATGTGGTGTTCCGTAAAAGTGAAAGTGCAAGAATCATTAAATAGGGACTGTACACTAACCCTCTCCACCAGATGACTGGTTTAGAGCTGCAGAGACCTCCTGTCTTACCGAGCGTTGCAACTCCAATTGCATGTCCATGCAGGCCTCCAACATCCTCTGCATGTGACTCATGCCCTGTTGAAGCCTTGCCATGTCTGCTCTTAGATCATTAATCATCTCCCACTCCTGCTCCATATCACCATTCCCACATTCAGTTCAAGGTGACATGTGCATAAACATATATACAAATACTAGATATAGGTGCAAAAAAAAAAAAAGTTTCATCAGACACTGAAAATTAAAATGAAAAAAAATTTCCAAAAATCATTGGCCACCAAGAAAGGACTAAGAAGAGATAATTGTTATGTCCTAATATGAAAGAGTCCAAAAAGTGTCCAGTCAGTAAAAGCCAACTTCACCAAGATTGCTTATTAGTCAAGAACAAAATTAAAATGGCACTCATGGTATAAATCCAAGTGGTTATATGCCCCAAGCCACCAAATTATGTGGATATTTCATATTGTTCTAGAACCAGGTAATGCTATACAAACACAATTCCTATACAAAAAATTATGTCTCATTTTTATACATTCATTGGAAGTCAAAATGCCCATCACTTTGGTTCATAATTACAAGACTGTCATTAACAAATCATTTTTGTCTTAAATTCTATATGAAAAAAAATTATGTATGAATATCATTTTCCAAATAGGAATTGCTCCCAACTACTATGGACGTGTTTGTTTCAGCTTTTCAGAGCCAACTTATGGCTTTTAGCTTTGAAAAAGTTATTTTGGACTGTTTGGTTAAACTTATTTTAAACAGCTTCTGATTCTTACAGCTTATTTTATCTCAAAAAAGCTGATTCTAAGAAGCTGCTCACCCCTTACTTCTGATTATCAGCTCTGCTGTAGACATGTTAATTTATGGTTATACTCTTAAATTTTTTTATTTTTTATTTTTTTAAAAATAGAAAAAGACTCAAATGGACTATAGATTATTATTATTTTTTTTTATGAAAAATGTAGACAAACAAAAAATAAAAATTAATTGAAAAAACTATTTCACAGCTTATTTAACAAATACTACTCAGCAACTTAAATTTATAATCCAACAGCTACACCAAATAGATTAACAACTTCTGATTAAAGTCATAATCTATAATTTATTAAGCTATAATTTATAAGTTGTTTTAACAGTTACACCAAACGGGGCCTATATAGTAGCATTTCCATATAATATTCAGCAACATGAGTAATGACAGAACACAGAATGAACGGATGATTTCCTATAAATCTAAAAGAGTGTTTTTTGTGAGGGAAGATTTGAAAGACAAGATGTTTGTAGTGGAGGGGGTTGTTTTCGAGCAAGTATTAGTTATGACTAGTTGAGTTTTCCTTCCTTTAGTACGTAAGGGAAGCCCTTAAGCGTTGGCACTGGTTGCTCCTGCCGATCCAACTCCCTTCAGATGTCCTCTTGGTTGACACCCAGTGCAACCAGATGTGGTTAGAGCTCCTCTTTAAAAGGGGATTAAAAAAGAAGAATTTGTACTACAGATGATACATAAAATATAAGATGAATCTGAACCTATAGATGATGCATAAAACACAATGAACATAATCAGTTTTCACAAAACATCTATATGGTTTTTCCACTAAAAATCATCACACAAGAAAACATAATACTGCGATAGCCTGAGAAATATATATACTCCTTCCGTCCCAAAATAATAGTTCGTTTTGGAAAATCTAACTTTTTTTGATAGTACAATTATTGCACTTTAAAAAATTAATTTTCTAAAATTACCCTTTGATAGTTTATTTTTCAAGGAATATCAATTGTCATAATTGTACTTTTTATGTTGTTAATGAATTTAAAAGGACAAAATAGAAAATTCATATTATTTTTGTCCTTGATTTTTGAAAAATGACTAATATTTTAGGACAATGAAAAATGGAATAAGGGACTAATATTTTGAGACACGCAGAGTTTTTTTTTTGGAGGGGGTAGGGTGACTCACAAGTTCTGAACGATGCATGCCATGTCGAGGCCAAGTAGAATGATGTAAATCCTGATGCCAAAGTGGCTGTGGAGGGGGCACTGGAGGAGATGGTAGTACCAGTGAAGGTCTACCCATAGCATCATTCGGATTCCCATTCTGCTCATCCCTCTGTTGCTCCTGATCCCGCTCTGGTGAAGCAGGTATCGGAGTAGGCAAGTTCCTGTGCAGATCCCAGTCAATCGGAGCATGGGCTTGCCTTTCTACATATGACTGAATTAATTGGTCCAGACTCTCACGGAAACCACTTCGAAGAAGATTAGAAACACTTCTCCTACAATGAGCAGAAAATCCCATTTGAGAAGAAAAGCAAAAAACAAAAACGCCTAGATGGCTCATATACAGTTCAAAAATAACAAACAAAAATACCCAAAAAAAAACTTTTCACACACATACTAATACCTGCTTAAAAGTTCCCTGAGTTCCATACTATACACATTATCATCATCAGGTGGGTGGAATCTATTGACTCTTCTGATTGGGATAAAACGGCGCATTCTAGGGGGGTCGGAAGGTGGTTCTGACCAATTTTCCACAGCTTCCCTCGCATCATTTTCATGCCAACCCTCATGGGTTTGTTGCGGATGACCCTCTTCGACACCTTCATTTCCCAGAGTTTCCTGGGGCCAATCATTAACAGGATTTTCCTGCCAATTAACATCCATATCTCCAGCAGTGCCATCTGTCCATTCATTAAACTGATTATATGCAGCGTTCTGCCAGTTTCCTCTGCCATCTTCCATGCCTTGTTCCTGCCAATCACTTCCGTGATTAACACTAGCTTCCCAAAAAATGCTCTCAGCAGCTGTGTTGTTTTCAGAATTTCCTATAGGATCTGATAACCGATGGATGTCAGCTGCCTGGCTTCTAGGTTGCGACTGCTCATGGTTTTCATGTTGGGCCCCTTGTGGAATGTTTGTATGGATCTGATCATTTCTAGAATCAGTGGTGTTATTGTTAGGTGAGGTATCAGGATTGGTGACTACTTGACCACGAACAATAGTTTCTAATCTGGTGCGGAACCCTTCCCTGCTCGAAAGAATTGCTCATTATGTCATTTTAAAACCATCGCCATTTAAAAAAAAAGGCTAATACTAGAACAATAGGTCTCGTTTAGCAAGTGACTTTTTTACCTAAAAAGCTAAAAAATCATTAAAAAAACCAAAAAACCAACAACCTATACAAAAAAGTCAGATTCTCTTCTCTATACTTTTGGCACATCTTTTCGTAAAAAACCAAAACATTATCCCAAACATACTAGTTTTTTTTACATCATATTTTAGCCAAAAAGTTATTAAAAAAGTCTGTTCCCAAAAGTATAATAATAATAATAATAACCATCAATAAAGTTGTTCTTGACGCTGTGATGCCAAACAACCAAAGACTCAGCAAATTGGCATTATAAAATGCTGATATCACTAATCTAATCCCTGGAAACAGAGAATTAAACCACTACATTGCACATAATTAATCCATGCCAGATAACTGAGTATGTGCATGTAGGCTCATAAATGAACAGACCGAGACCTAAAATCCCAATCACGTGCTTAAATCAAATAAGAATCCATCCCATGAACTAATAGTTTTTACAAGTCAGTGTATTATGAATAGTACTGCTCGTCTCATTCAGATGTTAAATCACATAAATATTAAAGGGGGAAAGACCTAAATTGACATGAGATGTGGCAATTAAAAAAAATATAGGAATTTATTTAATTTAGTTGAGCATATAGCCCATGACAGAGCCAAATGACAAAAAAGAATTAATGTAATTGATCCCACTTGATTGGGACAAAATGCTTAGTTTGGTGTGGTTTGGTTTATTTTATTTGTAGTTGACTATAAAAACCTACAAGGTGAAGTCATTATAGCATATTAGCATGACAGAGAAATACGAGATCTCATTGATGTCTGACTTCTGATAGTCAGATGGCTCATAAGATCCCCATTGAACTACCAAAATGCACAGAGGAGTAATCTCTTTTTTTACTTTTCTTTAGTTTCTTACTCCAATCACCAGCAGATCTGCCAGTCTGGATCCCGAATATTCAAGGGTATTGGCAGGGGGGCAGACTGGGTACAGTTCTAAATTGTACAAGGTGGCCTCAGACTTCAACACGAGTTCATTGTTAGTAATTTCACATATGCTTAGTAGCCCAAGGTTTTACCAACACACCAAATGATGGCCCCTTCCAATAACCGTTAGATCTAATGTTTTAAAACTATAAAATCGGAAAATGAATTTACCAAGGTCGTGATGGTGCATCTTTTATTATTCCTCTGACCAAAATGTATCTAAGTATTTAGCATAATAAAACTAGAATAACAAATCATTTTATTCATAAATGATTTATGAATTTTTTATTAGTAGTAATAAAATTTCATTAAAAATAGACAGCATAAAGGGATTGCCGCCCATGTAATAATTAATGAAATTATTTGCGCCTTTTTAAATAAATAAAAAAATCCTAATGATGTAATCACAGAAACTACCAAACAATTGGCAACTCGTGTACTTGGAACAATAGACCTAAAAAAAGGTCCCCTCCTCATACTAAAAGTATTAAACTATTACAGTAATCTTTTCCTCACTTCTGAAGACCATCATAAGAACAACCAGATCATATACAAACTAACTGATCATCTGAAAAACATAACACCAAAGGAGTTCCAACCAATAGTAAATTTAAAAATTAAAACACTATTGTACACGAATATATATTAAAATAAAACATACCTTAAGCCAGAAACAGTATGTCGTTGTCTTAACTGAACCAATTCACTCGCTGCCATAGAAGGGGGTCTCTCCTCCTCAACAGGCCTTTCATTTCGCAAGAATCTACCTCTGAGTAATGACTGGTAAAATTTGCATAAATGGTCAAGCCATAATTAAACATGCAAACTCAGAATCAAACATATTCACAAGGAAACGATTTCAGGGCTCAATATCAATTAATAAATAAGTCAATGCCTTATTCTGTGATAAATCTGAATCTAAGATGTAGGTTAACTAATTCAAATACATTGTTACTAGTAACAATTATCCATTTGTTATTGCATACAGATTACTTATTTTAGAGCATCGTTACATGAAGCACTGCAGATTAAAAAATAAATAAATTACAAATAACCAAAGCCTATCCAATACTGCAATATAGTTTTTTTCATTACCAAATATCTAAATCTCAAAGGTAGACAAGGAATCTATAAAACCTTGAAATAGTCCTTTAGCATATGTATGCAACAAAGAAGCACTTGTATTTCTTGCCTAGCCAAAAGGAGAAAATATGGAACAACTGATGGATTTTTCTGCCATAGCAATATGTAAAATTAAGAGGGCAAAATCAAAGTGAGAATGAGACAGATATTACTGACTGAAATGTTTACAAAGTAGTTACTAGTTAAACCTTGTTCCTGAGGAAGTTCAATCTAACAGGATGGGAAAAAGACCACCAATCTATATGTCCACGAGGACTTTAGGCAAGAAACTACTTTCCACAGATCAAAACTAAGCTGAGAAATCCAAGATTAAAACAACTTGTGGTGACCTACACAACTTTTTTCATCATTTGGTTTTATCTATTAAAGATTGCCAACTTTTCAATCAAGAAATAGTTAAAAATTGTCAATAGAAAAGAATTAAAATATTAAACAATATACATTCAATCACAATATCCATGAAGATATTGCAAAAAGGGCATCTGAATAAACACAGAACTTTTCTCCATCCTGCATTTCACACACACGCTCTATTTGTTATAGATTACTCTCAAATTGATATAAGGGTTGTTTGGGAAGCGCTAGATTAGCATACTTTTTGACTTTTTACGAAAAAATATGAAATATGGGTTGGGTTTGAAGTGATGTGGTAGAGAGGAGATGTGACCCAAATAAGATGATTATAACCCAAATAGGATAATGTGCTAAAATAGCATGTGCTATTTTAGCACATGCCAAACAAGCACATAATTTCCATACAACAAATAAAATTGAAACCCAAAACCAACTTCTCAGAACCATAACTACTATGTGCATGAAGTATGGACACAAAAATTGTAAGGAACATAAGAACATCCTAAATTGATTTTAGATTCCATCAAACAAATCCAATGCACTTTTTGTATTTCTATTTCGAGTCAACACGTCAGTTTTTATGCACGGTAGGAAACATATAAAGTCAATGAACAACAATATAATGAACAAACAGTGTCAATGAAAAGCAACAGACCTGAATGCGGTTGCGATGAGCAAATTCAGAAACAGCCCGATGCTCCAACAGACCCTGAAGTTCCCCCTGTCTTTCTCTCTCAATCCTCATAAGCAAATCGATTAGAGCTTGTCTCCCACGCAACCTCAGCATGTCCCTGCGAGCATGCTCAGGCTGGCCTTCATCATGGTCAACAACCAGCGCTTCCCGAAGTTGGTCAGCTTGAGGTACAAGTCCAGCAACTTGTTCATCCCTTCGACCACCACGAGCTCCTCTCTGTTGTTGACTAGTCATTTGCACCCATTCCCTCACAATCCTAACCCTTTCACGCTCAGTTTCACCAAGCCACTCTGCTCTTGGACTATTATTGCTCCTCTGTGTTACATTAGGTGAATGGTCAGTGATGTCACTCTCCATCCATCCCCGAACAATATGCCTGACCCTCTCCCTCTCAACTTCACCAAGGTCAGGAGATTGCTCACGGCTAGAAGTATCACGGTCATCATGCTCATTCTGTCTCACCATCTGATCATGGGACCAACTTCCAAAGTCATTCTCACTTTCACTAGCATCCTCCAAACTTCCCTGAATCTCACTACCCCGGCTTTCAGACATATTTGTAGACACATTTGTATTCGACTCGACACTCCTCTGTTGCCTCAATCTTTCTCTCACCCTTCCCCGAGCACGATTCAACAAGTGCTCATCCTCCAACTCCCTCCACATTTGCAAAATAGATGATGACTGGGTGCTTGGTCTCTCGACATTACCCTGCCTTCTCGAAGTAGGAGACTGTGACTCCCTTAAGAATGACGAATCAAGCATGGAAACTGTATGAAGACCCGCGAGTGCCATCAACTCCGATTCTCTATTCCTCCTCTCAATCGTCGTAATCATCTCCTGTGCCTGCCGGGCAGCCCAACTGCTTAAAATCCGCGAGTGGCGCCTCCGGGCAGCAGAAGACTCAGCTAAATCATCCCCTTCAAGATCCGACCTCCTCCTCCTCCTAACAAGTTGATCACCCTCATCATCCTCATCCTCGGCATTACGTGGAGAGCTACATGATGCAAATGGCATACAACCATCGAATTGTCCACGCATAAAATCCTCCAATCCCAGCTCAAATTCAGAGCGGGCATCTGTGGCGGTTTCAGATTTCTGTTGCAATTGTTGCTGAATATCTGTCATCTTAACCCACTACCCTCTCCCCTGGGCCACCCACCACCACACTCAATCACAACCCACCATTTCTACACCTAAAAAGAAAGATCACCCTAACAAACAAAACCTATTCAATAGATACAAAATCAAAAACCCAAATTTCAGATCAAAGCACAAGAAATTGGAAAACAACAGTAGTGGCCTAATGAGATTAAGATTGATTGTTCCACACATATCACCTGAACAAAATTCACATAATTTCTCGTTAAGATGGGATTGTACAATCAAATCGAGATCTAGAGTGCAGAGAAATTCAATACAAATCCATATTAGGGACAACAAAAAGATGAAATTGAAATTGATGAAACAAAAGCGTACCTTTTGTGTAGCTGTGTGTTCGTCGTCCAAGTGTCAAAAACAAAACCCTAATTTTCGGAGATAAAAACAGAGAGAGAGTGTGTGTGTGTGTGTTCAAAACAATATCACAAAATTGGACAACGAAATAGCTGCAGCTGCCGACCTGAATATAGCCCCTTTCCTGAAGTTCAGAACTGAATCAACCCCAATTTGTAAGTTCCCTTTCTTCTTTCTCTGATATTTCCCTTTCTTCTTTCAGAGATACATATACATATACATATATATATAAACATATATACAGAGAGATTTTGAGAAACAGAGAGAGAGCGCGGATTTTTTGGGCAGAAAAAGAGAGACACAGAGAGCGAAGGTGAGAAGCGCCGATCTTCCTTTTTTTCTCTACGAATTTGACGGTTTTTTTTTTTTTTTCTTCTTCCTTTTTTTCAATATTTGACCTAATAACAACTTATATTTTAATTTCCGTAATTATTTTTAATTTATACTTTAATTTTTTTAAAATAATATCAATTATAATTATCTGTTAATAACTCATGAATAGAGATAACAATTTAGACAATTTAATTATTTTTTATGAATTTTGCTAGACAATCGTGATAGTTATGGATTAGATGAAAGTGAACTAAAAAACAGAAAAAAATAACGGTAGAGGGAGAAAAAGAATGAAATACAACGATAAAAGTGAGTATATCAACAAATGTAAGAATAGGAGTAATGAAAATTCAAGATTTAAATTGAAATAATTAAAAAGTTAAGATTTGATTTATTATCGTGAACAAATTTTAGGAGTTTTTTACAATTTTTCCAACCAAAAATATGGATTATTATTTCTAAATAATATAATTAAAAAATTATAGCGAATTTTATGTTTTTAACATGACCATATCATTCTTTTTTTAAATATTAATTTCACTGACTAAATTCCATCTTTTTTCTACAAACTACAATTAGTTTTGGTCTATTTATATTTTTTAACTGCATTTTAATTATATAGTGATAATAATTCAATAAATTTTTAAGAAACAATTACAGTAGGAAACTAAGCGTAAACATAAAAATTATTAAAATCATATTATAGACCGTAATTTTTTTGTCGTGTGAATGGCCATCCATCATGAAGGCCACTTAACTATATAAATTTTTTTTTTTCTACGAATTTAAAATTTAAACAGAACATAAAGAGTTTAAATACATATGTCATTGCAATATTGTGAGCCTTCTTACAAAAGCTAAAATTTTACGGATTTGGAGTGGCTGTTGTACACTCCCGCACAGCAGCTACTATTGTGTAGTTACATAGGCCCATTTTGGAGTCCATTTTGATAATTCAAACTGTTCACATTTTAGAATACATTAATTAAAACATACCTGAAAAAAATCAAGTTAATCAAATATCGTTTACCCATTCATCTACTCACATTTGTATTCATTTTAATACTTTAAATCACAATTGTTATTTATTTTTGTAGATACAAATGTGAGTGGATGAATAGGTAAACGATATCCGGTTAACTTATTTTTTTCATTCTAAAATGTAAACGGTTCGAATTATCGAAATGGGCTCCGAAATGAATCCATTTAACTGCACAACAGTGGCTGTTATGCACTGAAAGATGATAATACCAAATTGACTAAAGACTTTCAAGAAAAATGTTCAAATTAAAGACCAAAAACCAATATAATGCTGAAAGTTGCCAAAGCATTTAGAACAATTGCAATATATAAAAAAATAAAAAATAAAAAGCAATAAAATGATTAGCAAACATATGGATAATGTTTTAGGAATTCAGTATGATGGTATGTCTAATGAAACGTAGACAAATCTCCTTCTTAACTTAATAATTGTTTTGACTAAGTAATGTATCTTGATGTGCAACAAATTAATCATATTGTTAGATTATGATATGTCAAGAAAATTGTTGTTATGTTCATAAACCAAAAATAACACTTTCGTAGTATTCAAAATTCAAATTATTTATATATTCAAACAACATGAAGAACTACTTCTCATATCATTACTTAAAACAACTTGACAAATTTGCATTTATTGTGGCTCTTCCTTCAATGGGTAACAATCAAATTTACTTGTTAAATCTTCCACTTGAACTTATATATAGTATTCAATAAAAATATCTGCATATATAGAATTAAACTGTAGAAAGATATTTTAAAAAATGAACATATTAGCACGATGGAACCGATCTTTATAAACATAGTGAAGAGACAGACAAATAAAGATATCTCTAATGAATTTCATCATACCAACACATACATTCTTAATATTTGCTATCTTTAATGGAAATGCAAAATGAGGAAGCTTCCTCTTTTGTTTTTTTTCTTCTAAGCAGAAGAGAGGAAGTTTCCTATTTTGGAAGAGCTCACCCATTTCACCATTTGCTTTTGCTCCCCTTCTTGGCTTAGTGGTAAGGTAAAATTGTTGTGCTAATTATTGAATCTATGAATTATAAATATAAAATATATATATTAATTATGGTATTTCATACATTCACTCTATTAGCCAGCAAAAAATTCCACAACATTGCAACAAATTTCAAAACCTGAGTACCAATTATATAAACATGCAAATTTTGTTTCAAGTAATACTACATGTACCTGAATTTCTTGTCCATTGAACACAATATTGATGCTTACATTAACAAATACAAACTTGAATTTATTTATTTATTTATTTGTTTTTATTTTTTTTGTTAACTAATAATCAAATCTTAAGTCCCTTTGAAATATATCGGAACTTAAACTAAGACCTCTGTATAGAATTAGAATACGATAGATCAATTTGTTTCTCTAGCAAGTTGTTTTACTTTTAGAGAGATAAATTCTATTTGTTTTATATATGCTAGTTTTAAAAGTTTAAAAAAGTAAAAGGGGATTAAGCTCTAACTAACCACAGAGTTGAGTAAGGTGTGGGGATAATTAGGGGTTGTGAGTTCCAATCCCCAAAGGCACCAAAGGCACAATCCTTTTTTCGTAATGAATTGGGTTAGGTGTATCTCATTTCTGGACCCTAGGAAAATCTGTCCCTTGTCTTACTCTCACGCAACTAAATTGGTTTGTGTGTGTTAGGCTGCCTTTTTCAATACCCTCTCTTCTTCTTTCTTTTTTTTTTTCTTTTTTTTTTTTTTTTTTTTGAAAGAAATGCATGATTCTCTAATGTATCGTGCCATATGTGCAGAACTAAAATATAGAAATATACACAAAAAGTACATTTTGTAATTTAAATTTATTTTTAACATGACCTACATATCACTCAAGATAAATTTCAACCACACATTATTCTTTTGTCTATTTTCTATATTTTAACTTTGTACAACTAGTATTCTCTACTCTAATTGTTGAAAAATGTACACAAAGGTGACTATGTTTGGAATAAACCAACAATCGTGCTAGAATATCATGGTATTATTTTTTATTTTTCATGTTTTTAAAACTAAAAAAAAAAAATGAAATGTTTGAAGACAGACATTTGATTGGATGTGCCCATAACTAAAATTTACCTAGTTGAATTTGACCCATGAAAAATCAGTAAGTCATATGCTTGGCACATGCTATTACCATGCTAAGTCCTTTAAACCAACCTTGAAATTACTTTAATAAAATTCAAAACATTTTTTCCATTTTCACTTCACTATTTTTTTCTATGTGACATGAAAAAGAAACATTAAAACAAGTTAAAACCATGATTTGAACTTCCTTTATTTTGTGATGGGATATCAAGATATTGTGCACACTTTGCTTTCTCTCAAAGTCAAGAAAGTTTTGAAAAATGTAATAATTGATTGCAATTAAAAGTCTAAAAACTTCTCATTTGCCACCATCCCATCCATAAAAATAGTAATGTCTTTATGCTTCATATGATGAGTATATGCAAATTATTAGCTTTCTTTTCACTTTGATTATGTTAGATAAAGGACTTTAGTGAACTCAATTAAGATCTATAACCTAGTCCCTAGAGTAGCCAATACTTTTTTGTTTTTCATTTTTTCCTTTTGATAAATAAACTTGGTGTAAATGTAACATTTTTTTTATTTTTTCAAAATACTCTCTCGTAGCTATCATGTCTATTGTGACTGTTCAAATCAAAATATCCTATAACTAATGAAATTCATATTCAAATTAAAATTTCTAACTTATAACATATATATATATATATATGAAGTTCATTGATAAAAAAAACTAGTGGTGAAAAAATGGACAAAATAAAAGTAACAAATATATTATTTATTATTGAATTTTGTTATCATTCGAGTTATTGAGTGAGTAATTTCCACCTTATTGGTAAGGGTTCAAAGATTCCAACTACAGAAAAACAAAAACAAAAAAAAAAATTGTAAATCAAAATAATTGTTTGTAGTTGCAAAAACATTAACCATCCATCATTTTGTATAAATTTTTATATATTTTTCCTAAATAAAGACAACTAACAGCAGCATATGTCAAAACCCTACTAATATTTTATTTGATTGGATCATAACATGCATGTCCCTGAGGAGGGCACTTGCCACCCTACTAAGATGGCGACACACGGCAATTGTTGCTCTTGATTAATACATTTTTAAAGGTAATTTTTAATAATAATCACAATTATTATATTTGAAAAAACATATTTCATTTCATTTTATCAGACAAAGTATAATATTGAATCATAGAATGAAGTAGGTTTGCCTCATGAAATGTTCCTTCATAAACAATGGGCATGATTTGCTACCATTTTAATAATAAATTGATTCTCTCTCGACCTACGGCAAAAAAGAGACAGTATCTCAAATCATATCATATATATATTATTAAAAATAATATTTTTCTCATATTTAAATAGCACATTATAAGAATTCTTTTTTTCTAAGAAAGTTATGTCAACACATATTCTCTTAATTACATATAAATTTCTACACAAACCAAATCTAATTTAAATTATACTAATTTTATCTATTTCATATGAATTCTATTTGACAAATATTTTTTTTCAATATATTTTTCATAGTAAATTAAGATAATCCACAAATCCAATAACAATTTTGCGTTTCACGTTTTTCTTCTTAATTCTTTCAAGAATATTAAGATTTTTTTTAATACTAAATTGCCCTTTTTTTTCTTATTTT